GGGAAGAAAGAGGGATCGGTCCCCACGACCGGGCACCGATCAGACTGATTTTTCACCCCGGCGCGTGAACACGAGCAGGGGTGAGTCCCTCATTTCGAGGAGGCAGACAAAGGCCTACGCCCGACAGGCTTATTACGCCGGGCAGAGAGTGATGCACGCCGGAAGCAGGCCGGCGGCCGAGCCGACGCCCAACAAGATATCCTTCACTGATGAGGATGCGTTCCTGTTCGACCATCCTCACTCGGACGCCCTGGTGATCACGGCCCCGATAATGGCAATCAAGATCCACCGGATAATGGTCGACACCGGGGCCTATGCGAGCATCTTGTACTACAGTACGTTCAAAAAGATGAGGATTGACAGGAAGGAAGTACAACCCTGCCGGGAGCGGATCCAGGGATTCAACGGCCACATGACGACCCCCGTGGGTCAGGTAACCCTGCCGATCAGGTTTGGGGAGAAAGGGCAGCCCACGCGAACGATTCTGGAAACTTTCAAAATAGTGGACTGCCCAAGCGAGTACAACGCCATTCTGGGCCGGACGGCACTCTACAAGCTAAGGGGAGCCGTCTCCATTTTCCATTACTCCATCAAGTTCCCAACCTCAGACGGGGAGGGGACTCATCGGGGAGACCAGAGAGAGGCGCGGGAATGCGTCCTGACTATCCCCCGAGCAGAAATCAACGCGGCAAACTCCACCCCCGAAGCCGGGACGAATGTGGCCGTGACCCGCGAAGAGGAAGAGGGCAGCCGCATGCTGGAAAACCAGACAGGTTTGCCCCCGACCGTACCCGGTGCCGGGCAGGTTGTTGGAAGCACCGAGGTGGAAGGAGAAGCAGATGACGAGGTGGTTCACCCCGGCATGGGAAGCGACCACATGCTGGAAATCCAGATAGGTCCGCTCCCCCAGGCCGGGAAGAACGCCGAGCAGGAAAATGGAGCCGAGCCCGACCTAGACCAAGATAGAGGTCGGAGAGCAAGAAAGGAACCGATGTCGGAAGAGGACGAGCTCGACCCCCGAACCCAATACGAAGAAAAGAGAGGCACAAAGCGGGCCGAGCCCATGGACGAAGTCGAAATCATTTTCATCGACGAAGAAACCTGCCAGAAGCAACTTCGGATCGGCAGTAGACTGCCAGCGCCGTTGAAGGCCGAGCTGACCAGTTTCCTTAGAGAGAGCGCAGATGTATTTGCGTGGACCCACGAAGACATGGTCGGCATTGACCCGAAGGTCGCCTGTCATAGGTTGCAGGTCGACCCCACAGTCAGGCCGGTCGTTCAGAAGAGGAGGAAGCTGGGGCCAGACCGACAGCAGGCTCTTGAAGAAGAAGTGATCAAGCTCAAGGACAATGACTACATTCGGGAGGTCCAATATCCGACCTGGGTTGCCAACCCGGTACTGGTGAAGAAGGCCAGTGGGGCATGACGTCTTTGCATCGACTTCTCAGACCTCAACAAGGCATGCCCCAAAGACAGCTACCCCCTGCCCCACATTGATTATATGGTGGACGCCACCTCAGGGCATGAACTGATGAGCTTCATGGATGCATATTCCGGATA